CTGGCGTTTGTCTTGGCTCATGATTATCAGATCTTCCTGGATTTCGTAGCGTTTGATCTGAAGATAAAGATAGAAAAGTGACGAAAACTGGTTCACCGATAACCGCTTGAATCGGTGAGTAGGTGAAACAAAAACCGTTTGAACTATCTGGAGGGTGTGAACATTAATATTGCGCGTGGGTGTTCCTTCTCTGAAGCCACACCCACGCCCACACCCTATACATTCTAGATATAAATACAGTAAGGAATAAAGAAAACACGCTATGCACAGCTACTTAGTACTTCGTCCTGTAATAAATAGATCTTCCGAACAATAATTCTTTTGTGTATTGGAGAAGGGAGCAGTTTCATTATTGGTATTAGCCACTAACTGAATTCTATAGCTGCGCAAAATAGGGCATAAAGCCAATATTGCATTACGAAGTCATTCCGCTCCAAGGCTGTAAACATTGATAAATCGGTTGAAATATTCTAGGTGGATGTGGGCGTAGGTATGAGTATTATATCCATCATACACTCTCTCATGTCACTTCAATTAAAATATCTTTATCTACGTATAAAATAATAAAGCGATATTCTGACGTTTGAAACTGTTTGCTAAACAGATTAACTTTTTTCATAATTAATAATTTTAAAGAGTTGCTTTCATATTGGAATAGTTTGATAGATCTGAATATATCTTCAAAATACAGATTCAAATCATTTAGATATGAAGTATTTTTAGACTTCTTTCGTTCTTATATTTGTTCATTTTTAATATTTGAAACTTTTCATTCTAAATATCCAGTTAGTTAAATTCCTTAATGAGACATCATTAGTCTCCTTGATAAAATTAATTTGTGATACGAAAAACTTGAAAAATACTTCGCTTAAACTTCGATTTCTTTTTTCTCGAAGTGAAATAATTGAATAAACATACCGAATGATGAAATAACTGAAATTTTCTTAATAAATTCTTGTGAATCTTGTCGAATAGAAATATTTGATGGTTGAAGAAATTCTTCAGTAATTTGCGTTAGTTTTAATTGAAAATCATTTAAATCAATTTCATTAAATTCATTTTCTTCACGAATTTCTTTTAATTTCTTAGACAATTCAATAAACTTTTTTTCCACATCATTGATTGAATTTTGCATTAATTTCATCAGTGTTTTTCGACATTCTTCTGCTGTTTGTTGAATTTGGTGAATTGAATTTTTTTCCCATTGATTAATTTGTTGAACTAAAGAAGAATTTAGTGGATTTTGTTTTTGTTCAATAATTGTTTGTTGAAATTGATCGTGATCATTAATAATTTCATCTAATTGTCTATGAAGAATTTGTCGATGTTCTGTTAAATGTTGAAAACAAAAATCTTTTGAGCATCCACGACAAATATATGTTGTATTTCCTTTATTACAGATAGAACATTGTGCTCTAATGTTTGCTGTTGCCATGTGTTAAAGAATTCAAAAATGGAATGAATATTTGTTCTGATTTGCTTGTGTATTTATTTGTAAAAAACAAAATGAGTCAAAGTCAATAAACATTAGTAGGTAGTAAAAGAACGAAGAAAATCTTTTTTCGATAGATACGAGATCTTCATCATGAAAATAATTTTAATATTCATTAATATTGAATGAAAACAAAGTTTCTTTAAAGAAGATGAATTTTATTGATCTTTCGTCTTTTACATGAGTTGAGATACAAATAGTATCGTAGTTTTCAACGAATAACAAAAAAAATAATTTTTTGAATGAAACTTTAAATAGGTGTCGTTAATCTACTCAATTCTCTTTACTTCACTGAGCAATTTAATACTCTCAGGGATGATGATCAAGGGCTTTTCTTGGACTTCTCTCAAGGATGTTCATTAAATGTGTTTAAATAAGCGGGTGGGTGCGTATGTAGATGTGAATATAAAGGATAGACATTCACACTCCTAAAACATATCCTTATTTTATGAAAACAAAAATTTTATTCTTGTTTATTATTTATTGAATAAATGGATGTTTCGGAAGAAGATATATAACTGATAATCATCATGCGACGTATGTACAAATTCTAATGAAAGACATTTTGAAAAATCAAGTGACGTTTGATTCTTTTGAGTCGTTCTTTATTCTAATCTTATTAAAAACAATAAAATTCGGAACTGACTATACGCACATCAGGTAGATATAATGAATTAAATAGTAAAAATTAAGTTATATCATAGTCTTATATACATTTGATAATTAACATACACAAAATATCTTTACTTAATAGTAGTTTTACTTTATTAGTTTTTTGTTACATTCTAAAAAAGGTATAAATTATTTATTACAGTTGTGCATATACAAAAAGAACTTAATTTAAAGAAAAATCAATCAGCTTACAAACATTTCTACCGTTTCTTGTCTTGAGTTTCTAAGAAAGTGATTGAGTTTTTGTTTCATTACACTTACTAAAAATTGTAGTATGCCAACATTTTTCTTCCCGTTGATGAATTATAAAATAAAAAATACTATATTTTTTCATAAATAATTGGTATATCAACTGGGAAATTGAAAGCACTCAGCCTAAGATAATATCCTGTATTGAAATACAATAATTAATCTTCGCCTGAACTTTCTGTATGCTGTTTCTTATGAACAGTTACAAATCAAATGAATTCAATTAATATGATCTCATTTATAATACATGTGCATATTACTTTGATTGTATTTGTTCTTGATTTAATACTAAACAGTGAATATGTAGTTCATCGGCAGTCTCTAATCAGAAAAATGAAATTAAAATATTTCTATTTTTATTTTTATGCTAGACTAAATAATTTTACTAGGAAAAAAATAGAAAATCATTATCATTTCGTAACAAATGCAAGAAATGTTGACCAAACCAATCGCTAAAAACCTAAAGAAAGATTTATCATATATGTTTATTTTTGAATTTGATTACTTACCGATGATGTATAGGAATAAAATAAAACATTAGTCAATTGAATAGCAGACCATGCACAATAATTAGCTTTCATAAAAGTTAGAAAATTCTATAATTAAAATTCGGTAAGAAAGTAATTCAAAAAATAAAGATTTAATCTACTTCACAGAAACGTTGGAAGATATAGAAGAATAAATATATACGCAAGCTTTTTTTACATATATGCTTGTATATACCATCTTAATTTTTGATATAACACCCCATATGAAAACGTTGTTGTTGATGAAAACTGTGTTTTATTCGTAATTGTTTGAACTTTTTCTTAATACAAAGAATAAGATAAAAGTCATCTTTATTTTTATTTATAGTAATCAGTAACGATAAATCGATATGTCTATTCTTACATTTATAATCAATAACTTAAAAATATATTATTCATCTCGTCTATGAACATAAACATAACTTCACACTGTATTTGACTCACAGGTTGTTGTGTTTGATATGCAACATACTGATCATGAATTTGAATCTTGATTCAGAATAATCGTACTCAAGTTCGTTCAATTATATTGTTTATTAACGCACATGAACGCGTTAAACATTCCAACGTGGTTATAAGTGATGTAATATTTTCTTTTTTCCCAACAAAAAATTCGCACGTGTTAATGTGTTCGTTCTCTCTCTTATTTCGTTTGCTTACCTGCGCACGCAAAACAGTCTTTTTTTTTCTAACTTGTAAAAATGTACACGTATCCTTCTCCCGAACATCATTTTTTTTTTGTTGAGTCATCATATGATGTAGTTAGAAGAAGGACTATGGAGAATGCAAATGATAATACTAGTTATTCTAAATTTCATACATTATTTAAAATCGTTTTTATACATTATGATCAACTATGTTAGAATAAACGAAATTGCCCAAATTCATCCAGTACAATCGTACTTTTGTTGTATATTTTTGTTTCATATGTACTGAGATATCTTATATTGCAAAATAAAATTGAAAAAGAAATTTTTAAAAAGAGAATGGACAAATATTAAAGATGCAAAAAAGCACACTATAAAGCATCATATATCATATTTATTGAATATACTCATAAGAATATACTTCAACGACAAACTTCAAGCAAAGAAGTTTCTTTTTGATATTAATAATATTTTTATTTATTCATCTATTTTACATTTATTTTGTATCGCACCATTTAGATAAATACAATATTTTCTTTATTTTTTGTTCAGTCAACATAATCTAATTGAAATCAGTTATTATTCGAATAATAATTTATTCTTGTGATTGTAAATTTGTTTTTTTTCATGATATATTTAAAATAAGTAAGACTTTGTATTGCAATAGTACTATTTTGTTGTTTTAGTTGTCTAATATATAATGAGAACTTAGATTGAATGAGCATTAACTTCGATTCATTTCAATTAAGAAATGGAAACGAACCAACAGTACAACATCAATTCATATAAGAGAGAGAAAAATCAATCATGCATATAAAATGCTCTTTTCTAAATCTTTATTTTTATTTTTATGTTTTGATGTATGTATGATTTTTAAGAATAAAGAAGAAAAGAAAATATGGTCTTGAGTAGTTAGTTTAGAGATAACAAAATAAGGATAGAAGAAATAAGCGTTACTCATTCACTCACAAGTCACTTGCGTTTGTTCAGCCATTGGTGTAGATTATACATACAAAGAAAAAATTTGTATGTATGTTTTCTTTCGTTCTATTGTATTAATACACTAATTCAGTGCAATGAATAACGTGGATCACTAATAAAACAAAAATAACAACTATTAAGCGAATATCTGATATTTTTCTTATCTCTGACGGATGAATAAATACTTTTGCTGCAGAATTTTAATTTATTTTAATTCATAATATTTCATGATTTTGGTGATGAACAAATAAATAAATACGTAAATGAATAAAATAATATGAGAAAAATGAAATAAGATTGACGAGAGAAGAATGAAGAACGTTATGATATAATTTTTAATTTTCTTTTTACAGCACTAATACAAATAATAAATGATGCAGTGGATATTGATATGAATGTGTTGTAGAATATATATAGAGACATTTATATCCATGTCTTCTAACTACCCATTGAATTTTTGAGATAATTAGATAACTTTTATGCTGTTCAATTCATCAGGCATTTCTACGTTCAAAAGAGAAAGCATATTTGAATGTTTATATGAAACTTTTGAAGTATAAATAAAATCGATTGATACTTTCGAAAAAAAATAGTTTTTATTGAAGGTATTGACAGTATCTTATCAGATGCACATGTTTCATTAATGCGAGGCAGTCATCTAATACATATTCGTTTTCGTTTCTTTCTCTGGAAGATTAAAGGTAGGCTTGATTGCGAATATGACAAAATAATAATTACCTACGCATATTTCTTCATATATTCTTGCTTATTTTCTTGCTACGACGAAAACAGAACGAACAATCTATTACTGATCAATGCAATAAAAATAAGATACAAAATTTTTCTTCGTTGAATTTATTTTTCTTCAGACAGTTACGTTCGTTGCGAATCGTTACTTATACAATCGAAACATAACATTATAAACGTATCTCTCTATGTAATTACTTCTTCATTTCTTCCATATTGTTAAGAAAAAATTATCTATGGATCAGTGATCACTACAGATAACAAAATACATATAAGTGTATATTTCTCATACTTTTATTCAGTTTCGTTGGTAATTTTTTTTATTTGCAACTGGTCTATTCATTCACTCGCATTTTATATCGATCGCCGAATATCATATTTAACAGGTAACTACTACTATACTATTTTGATTTCGTACACAGTATTTCTATGATGTATTATCATATTCCAATCTATTACTCTAGGAAAAAGTCAGTGGCGGATCTAGGATTTTGAAAGTGAGGGATGATTTTGGCTAACACTAATTTTTGAGGCCAATCGAAGTAGTGTGAACCTATTTTTCCGTTTATTTTTGCTGTAAAAAATCAAAAAAACTTTGTGAAAGGGTGTGGGTATGAGTAAGACAGAAATAATCACATCCATACTCTCATCCACACCCACTTACACTTACTCTCAAACCCAGACCCACCCACACCGTGAAAGATTTGAACCAGTCTTCTACATTCTCACTATCAGAATATTTATAGCCAACATGGTTACAGTATGGTATCAACACGATCAAAGCGCTCCGATCAAAATCAACATCGATTCTGATTCAGATATCGATGGTTTACAACAAGATATTTTTGGTAAAACTGATAAAGGACACTATCAGGCGACGTACAACGGCCAACCATTAAAACCATCGGCGAAAGTTCCAGGGGATACAGCTGATGATAAACCAATTGTGTTTACTAAAACTGTTAATTTACCACCTGTAGGTAAGTAAAAAAATGTTATCAGTATTATCATCTTGGGGTGAGTGCGGGGCGTGGATGGGTGGATGTGGATATTAGGTGTGTGTCGAGGTTTACGTTTTTTCCTCATACGTACCGCAGCCACACACTGCTGTAGCGTACCA